GAACCCGGGAGGTGGAGCTTATAGTGAGACAAGATCACACCATTGCACTCCAGCCTGGGCAACAGAGCAGGACTCCATCTCCAAAAAACAATAGAGACACAGTCTTTCCACGTTGCCCAGGCTGGTCTTGAACTTCTGGGCTCAGGTGATCCTCCCACCTAGGCCTCCCAAAATGCTGGGATTACAGGCTTGAGCCATTGTGCCCAGCCCTGACTTTTAATCTTTTTGTTTTTTTTAAAAAACAACTTTATTAGCCAGGCGTGGTGGTATACACCCATAATCCAGCACTTTGGGAGGCCAAGGCAGGTGGATTACTTGAGCTCAGGAGCTTGACATCAGCCTGGGCAACACGGCAAAACCTCATCTCTACAAAAAATTAGTCGCTACAAAAATCAGCCAGCTGTGGTGGCGGGTGCCTGGAATCCCATCTACGTGGGAGGCTGAGGCAAAGAATTGCTTGAACCTGGGAGGCGGAGGCTGCAGTGAGCCGAGATTGTGCCACTGCACTCCAGCCTGGGTGGCAGAATGAGACCCTGACTCAAAAAAATAAAAATAAAAAAATTAGCCAGGCATGCTGGCACGCTTCTGTGGTCCCAGCTACTCTGGAGGCTGAGGCAGACTTAAGCCTGGAAGGTGGAGGTTGCAGTGAGCTGAGATTGCACCACTGCACTCCAGCCTGGATGAGAGAGGATGACAGAGTGTGACCCTATCTCAAAAATAAAAAAATAAATAAACTTCATTGATGTATAAGTTACATATCATAAAATTCAATACCCATTGTTAGTGCACAATTCTGTGACTTCTAATATTTTTTGCATATGCATAATCATTATCATAATCCAGTTTTTAAATATTTGTATCACCCCTGGCAGGTCGTGGAGCTTGCAGTGAGCCGAGATCATGTCACTGCACTCCTGCCTGGGCAACAGAGCAAGACTTTGTCTCAAAAAAAAAAGTTTCACCCAAAAAGTTCATTCGAGTGCTGAAGTTTTAAAACCATTCCCTTTACATTCTGATACCCGAAAATAAACCTTGAAATCCCCCAAGGCGAAAATGTTCTCCTGAGGGACCCAAGTTAGCTCCTATTTCCCATCCTTGGGAGAAAGCTCTTTGGGTAGGGTGCTATCTACTTGGCATAATGAGTACTATTTAATTTGCACACTGTGCCCCCCTTGCCCCATGAGATAAAGAGAGGGATGGCAGTGGATGGCTGGGAGCCCACAGAGAGGCACTGCCTGGTGATCTGGCAGAGGCTATTTTATCATCTCCAAGTAAAAAATGGAGAAAAAATTTGAGACTCCAGAGATCCCACCTAAGAGGGGGAGTGATCACTCACTGAAAACATAACACAAACCTGGTTTTTGTGATCTTTTTTCTGATCTCTGATGTGTCAACCAAAGCAAGTTTTTCTCAGCCTGTCAGGCTCTGGTGTCTTGAGATGCTGAATGCAATTGCAGGAAGGAGAAGGAATTGAGTGATGTCCTCAAACACATGTGAGTAACACTTGGATAAGCAAAACTGTCTGAGTGCAGAATTTCTCAGAGCCCCCCATGTGCTGGGGAGGACTATGAAGCCCCAAAAGGGAGCTGCTGGACTAGGCAAGTCATTTTTCAGGGAAGATGGAATTGGTACCCACAGAACACCTCTCATGTCTCAGGCCTCTGGAACACAGTTACATGAGAAATGGTAGCAAAGCCTCCAGGTGCACAATGCCTGTTTCAAATGCTGAGGTTGGGGCTTTGTGCTGGTTATGTCTTTAGATGACATAGCAGTCCTAGTTTATTTGTTTGTTTGTTTTTTGAGACAGAATTTCACTCTTGTCGGCCAGGCTGGAGTGCAGTGGTGCGATCTTGGCTCACTGCAACTCTGCCTCCTGGGTTCAAGCCGATTCTTCTGCCTCAGCCTCCCAAGTAGCTGGGATTACACGCATGTGCCACCTTGCCTGGTCAATTTGTATTTTTATTTTTATGTGTTTATTTATTGAGATGGAGTCTCACTCTTTCACCCAGGCTGGAGTACAGTGGCACAATCTTGGCTCACTGCAACCTCCATCTCCTGGATTCAAGCGATTCTCCTGCCTCAGCCTCCCAAGTAGCTGGGATTATAGGCATGCACCACCATGCCTGGCCAATTTTGTATTTTTATTTTTCTTTATATTTATTTATTTATTGAGCCAGAGTCTCACTCTTTCGCCCAGGCTGGAGTGCAGTGGCGCAATCTTGGCTCACTGCAACCTCCATTTCCCGGGTTCAAGAGATTCTCCTGCCTTAGCCTCCTGAGTGGCTGGGATTACAGGCATGTGCCACCACACCCGGCTAATTTTTGTACTTTTAGTAGAGACAGGTTTTTGCCATGTTGGCCAGGCTGGTCTCAAACTCCTAACCTCAGGTGATTCACCCTCCTCAGCCTCCCAAAGTGGTGGGATTACAGGCGTAAACCACTGTACCTGGCCACTGCCCTGTTTCACTGAAGATGATGGTCTGAAACTGGAATACTGTGGCCACTACACCAAACCATCTCCCTCGTGAGGCCATTCCTCTCAGAACAGGCACACGGCAAGTACTCAAAAATTAGTAAGCACTGGCCGGGTGCAGTGGCTCACACCTGTAATCCCAGCACTTTGGAAGGCAGAGGCAGGAAGATTGCTTGAGCTCAGGAGTTTGAGAACAGCCTGGGCAACATAGCCAGATCCTATCTCTACAAAAAAAAAAAAAAAATTAGCAGGGCATGGTGGTGTGTGCCTGTGGTCCCAGCTACCCAGGAAGCTAAGGCAGGAAGATCATTTGAGCCCAGCAGGTCAAGGCTACAGTGCTAATTGTGCCACTGCACTCCAGCCTGGGTGATAGAACGAGACCCCCATTTCCAAAAAAAGAAAAATTAGTGAGTACTGATTTCAATGGAAGAACAAACTGTCGTAGACAGACTCTCTCCAGCTAAGCATTTGGAAACATGCCCAATTCTGGTTAAATAAGATGGTTCGGCCAGGCATGGTGGCTCACGCCTGTAATCCCAGCACTTTGGGAGGTAGAGGCGGATGGATCACCTGAGGTCAAGTTCAAGACCAGCCTGACCAACATAGTGAAACCCTGTCTCTAATAAAAATACAAAAAAAATTAGCTGGGCATGGTGGTGGGCGCCTGTAATACCAGCTACTTGGGAGGCTGAGGCAGGAGAATTGCTTGAACTTGAGAGGCAGAGGTTTCTGTGAGCTGAGATCATGCCATTGTACTCCAGCCTGGGCAACAAGAGTGAAACTCCATCTCAAAAAGAAAAAAAAAAAAAGATGGTTTATGCATATAACGAAATACACAGCAACAACAACAACAAAAATGAGGCATTTCTTTGTGGGTTGACATGGAAAGATCTTAAGACATGTCTTGAAGCAAACAAAATGTATGCACAGCTGGCTTCCACTTAGATGTCTAACAGGCAACTTAGATTTAATTTATCCAAAGGGGAGCATGTTCCCTTCTTTCATAAACAGCCCTTTTGTCATTGTTGTTTGCTTTTTGTGTTTTGTTTTTGAGACAGGCTCTCGCTCTATTGCCCAGAGTGCAGTGGCTCAATCATGGCTCACTGCAGCCTCGACTTCCTGGGCTCAGGGGATCCTCCCACCTGAGACCCCCAAGTAGCTGAGACTACAGGCGCACACCACCATGCCTGGCTAATTTTTGTATTATTTGTAGAGCCTATGTTGCCTAGGCTGGTCTCAAACTCCTGAGCTCAAACTCTAGCCTTAGCTTCCCAAAGTCCTGGGATTACAGGCGTGAGCCACCATGTCCAATCCCAAACAGTCCTTCTGATACTCAGTCAGCCTGCTAGATGCCCAGAGCAAAAACTTTGGAGTCAGCCTGGACACTTCTTGTTCCCTCGTTCCTATTTTTCAGCAAATCCTCTTGGCTTTACCTACAAAATATGTCCCAACTCTGACCAATTTTCACCTTCTCCTCTACTCTTGTGTTGGCACAACTGTATTCATTTCTCAGGGCTGCTATAACAAATTGTCCAAAACTGATGGCTTCAAACAACAGAATCTTTTTCTCCCAGGGTTCTGGAGGTGAGAGGTCTGAAATAAAGGTGTGGGCAGGGCCACCTTCCCTCTGAAGCCTCCAGGGGAGGGCCCCTCCTGGCTTCTTCCAACTTCTGGTGCTTCCTGGTGATCCTGGGCATCACTGCCATCTCTGCCTCCGTCTCCACATCCCCTCTCTCTGTGTATCTTCCTGTGGCTTCCCCTTTTTATGAGGATACCAGTCATTTAGGGTGGGTCCTAAATCCAGGATAATTTCTTCTCCAGATCTTTAACTACATCTGCAAAGACTCTAAGACCAAACAAGGTCACATTCTGAGATCCCAGGTGGACAAGAATTTGGGAGAAAAACTATTGAACCCAGCACACCAACTCACCAGCATCTTTTGTTTGACGATTTCTCTAGCCTCCAACTGTCTTGGGTTTCTGACCTTGACCCCCTACAGTCAATGTACAAGACAGTAGCCAAAGTGATCCTGGTGAAAATATCAGGTCTCATCCCTGCTGTGTCAACCCTCAAAGGTTCCCACCTCATCTGGAGCAAAAGGCAGACTTCTTCCGAGGGACCACGAGGTCCCACAGTCCTCCCAGTCCCTGCTTTGCAGCCTCTGCTGTCCCAGCTGTTCCTCCAATCTGTTGGGCACGGTCCCCCTCTCCAGGCCTTTGCACTTGGTAGCTTTTTCCTAGACTTCTGTTTCTTCTAAACTGGCTCTCTCCCCTCCCCTCCGTGAAACTTTCCAAAGCCCCAGAAATGCCCATTCCTGCCCCTTTTAATGTTTTCTCCGATGCGCTTCTCACCCCAGGAACACTCAGTGCATTTTACACATCCGTGGTGTGAGCTGTCTAGGTCCTCACCAGGATGAACTGCCTGAGGGCAAATCTCTTTCTGCTGTGTCCTCAGCACCCAGAACAGTTTCTGGCACACAACGGACACTCTATTGAGTTTTAAATTTTTTAATATATTAAATTTTAAAAATACATGGAATGGTTCATGAATTTGCATGTCATCCTTGTGCAGGGAGCATCTGATCTCGGTATCGTTCCAATTTTAGTATGTGTGCTGCTGAAGCTAACACAGGGTTTAAAGATGTGTTGAATGACTATGTTGAATGACTACATGAATGTACTTATGCCAGAAAACAAAACAGAGGGTGCCCAGAGCCTGAAGCCCACCAATAAAGATAGTTGGGGAGAGGGCAAGAGTGGCCCAGCGACATACAATATGTTTTTAAAACGTGTATTCATTGCCATAGGGATATTTTTCCATCTATCAGACTGTCAAGAATGCAGAATACTAGCCAGAGGCCAGGCGCGGTGGCTCACATCTGTATTCCCAGCACTTTGGGAGACCAAGGCAGGTAGATCATTTAAGGTCAGGAGTTCGAGACCAGCCTGACCCACATGGTAAAACCCCGTCTCTACTAAAAAATACACACACACACACACAAAAATAGCCAGATGTGGTGATGCATGCCTGTAATCCCAGTTATTCGGGAGGCCGAGGCAGGAGCATCACTTGAACCCAGGAGGCAGAGGTTGCAGTGAGCCAAGACCGTACCACTGCACTCCAGCCTGGGGGACAGAGTGAGACTCTGTCTCAAAACAAAAACAAAAACAGAATGCTAGCCAGCTGCGGTGGCTCACGGCTGTAATCCCAGCACTTTAGGAGGCCCAGGTGGGTGGATTGCTTGAGCCCAGGAGTTTAAGACCACCCGGGGCAACATGATGAAACCCCATCTCTACAAAAAAATTAGCCAGGCATGGTATTGCACAACTGTAGTCCCAGCTACTTGGGAGGCTAAGGTGGGAGGATCACTTGAGCCCTGGAGGTAGAGGTTGCAGTGAGCTGAGTTCACGCCACTGCACTCCAGCCTAGGCAACAGAGGGAGACTCTGTCTCAAAAAACGTTTAAATTAAATTAAATTAAAATTTTAAAGGATTCAGAATAAAATTAAGAAAATATTAATCTACCTTGGCAAGAGCTGGAGACCCAGCCCTTGTGTGGGGCTGCTGGAAGGGGTTCTCAGGTCAGTGTCTCTGGGGGACAACATGCTGTGTGGGGTGATCAAAAACCTTAGAGATGCACACACCTTCTTGGGCCAACCATGACACGTCTAAGATTCTTTTTTTTTTCTTTTTTTGTGAGACAGAGTCTTGCTCTGTCGCCAGGCTGAAGTGCAGTGGCATGATCTCAGCTCACTGCAACCTCCGCCTCCCGGGTTCAAGCAATTCTCCTGCCTCAGCCTCTCGAGGAGCTGGAATTACAGGCACCCGCCACCACGCCCAGCTAATTTGTATTTTTAGTAGAGAAGGGGTTTCACCATGTTGGCCAGGCTGGTCTCGATCTCCTGACCTCGTGATCCACCCGCCTCGGCCTCCCACGTGCTGGGATTATAGGCGTGAGCCACTGCACCCAGCATGCCTAAGATTCTCAATTCGTCTTTGGTGTCTTGGTCACACAGTGACTCCCTCTGGTTGGGTCTCACTTTTGTAAACTCCCTGGAGGCTCCAGTTCCATTTCCAGGGTCAGTTGGGACCCCATCTCAGCCTGGGAACCGTGGGGCTCTGAACTGCAGTTACTAGACAGATGACGACAGTACTTCCTGGGAGGCCTATTTGGAGGATTAAAATGTAATAATGGTCGCGCACGGTGGCTCATGCCTGTAATCCCAACACTTTGGGAGGCTGAGGCAGGCAGATAACTTGAGGTCAGGAGTTCGAGACCAGTCTGGCCAACACAATGAAACCCCATCTCTACTAAAAATACAAAAATTAGCCAGGCGTGGTGGCAGGCACCTGTAACCCCAGCTACTCAGGAGGCTGAGGCAGGAGAATCACTTGAACCCAAGAGGCAAAGGTTGTAGTGAGCTGAGATCACTCCACAGCACGCTAGCCTGGGCAACAGAGTGAAACTCGGTCTCAAAAAAAAAAGTAATAATGGATATAAAACATTTGGCCTGGACCCTGGTGCATACTAAGTGCTTAATACACAGTATCTGGGCTGGGAGCAGTGGTTCACGCCTATAATCCTAGCACTTTGAGAAGCCGAGGTGGGCCGATCACCTGAGGTCAGGAGTTCAAGACCAGCCTGGCCAACATGGTGAAACCCTGTCTCTACTAAAATTATAAAAATTAGCCGGGCATAGTGGTGCATGCCTGTAATCCCAGCTACTCAAGAGGCTGAGGCAGGAGAATCACTTGAACCCAGGAGGTGGAGGTTGCAGTGAGCCGAGATTGTGCTACTGCACTCCAGCCTGGGCAACAGAGTAAGACTCCGCCTCAAAAATAAAATAAAATAAAATAAAATCTGTTGTTATTTTAATCCTTTTAAATAATTATTTAAATGGTATAATTTGCCATTTAAACTTTTTTCCCTCCAAATCAACTGCTTGGCCAATGACCTCCAAGGTTCCTGTCAATGTTGACAGTCAATAAAGCTCTAACGAGCCTCACCCTTGGGCACAGCCCTGTCCTACCTCCTCTGGTTACTTTGGCTTGAGGAATTTTGATTGTGAGCTAGACAATGCCAGCCCCACCCAGAAAGCAGCTTCCCCCATCCCCGGCCCTGGTGTGTCAGGCGCAAGTGGAGGTCCCAGGCTTCAGAGCCACCATAAAGCCCATCCATCATAGGCTTTGGAACTCCAAAACAGGCCACCTCCAGGGACACACCAGCCACAGGACCCTACCTGAACAACTTGGGGCCCATCGAAATGACACCAAGAGCAGCTCCCATGGAAATTTCCTTCCCTAGGCCTCCCTGCGTGGTCTTACTTGCACACAGCTGGTTTATTGAGCCTTCTCTAACTTGGTAAACTTTGCTGAGGCCCAGTCCTGGGAGTTTTACACCATCCCGTCTTGATTCCTCACCCTGCTCCTGAGCTCATCCAACTCATCAGCAAGTTCTGTCAGTTCCGCCTTCAAAATACTTCCCAGGTCCTTCCGGCCCTCCATCATGGCTCCTACCAGCTGGTGAGCCACCATCTCTTGCCTCAGCGCCTGCGTGGCTTCCTACCAGGCTCCTGGCTTCCACTCTTACCCACAGTGGTTCATTCTTCATGCAAAGTGGTTTTTTAAAATGAAAGCCATGGCCAGGCGTGGTGGCTCATGCCTATAATCCTAGCACTTTGGGAGACTGAAGTGGGCAGATCTCCTGACATCAGGAGTTCCAGACCAGCCTGGCCAACATGGCGAAACCCCGTCTCTACTAAAAATACAAAAATTAGCCGCGTATGATGGCGCGAGCCTGTAATCCCAGCTACTTGGAAGGCTGAGGCACAAAAATCGCTTGAACCTGGGAGGCAGAGGTTGCAGTAAGCTGAGATTGTACCACTGCACTCCAGCCTAGGTGACAGAGTGAGACTCCATCTCAAAAGAAATAAAAATAACACATAAATAAATATGAACGCCAGTCATGTCTCTCCCTGCTTGTAACTCTGCAACAGCTCCCTACAACATCAAGAGTAGAATTTCAATTCCGTTCTAGGACCCAGAAGCCTCCAACTCCCTCCGGCCCCATCCCAGTCTACTCTTCCTCCAGCCTCCAGGCCTTCTGCTCCCTGAACTTGTCCTTGATAGCCCTTCTGTCACCAGCTCTGCACCAAGGGCTCTGCTCAGCCACCAGCCCAGGTGTTGTCTCCTGGAGAGGACTCCCTGAACACCTGTGGAAAGCAGCACCTCAGCCAGGCACGGTGGCTCACACCCGTAATCCCAACACTTTGGGAGGCTGAGCTAGGCAGATCACTTGAGCCCAGGAGGTCAAGATCGGCCTGGGCAACACAGCAAGACTCCATTTCTACAAAAAAAATAAAAAATAAAAAAATTAGCTAGTGTGGTGGTGCATGCCTGTGGTCCCAGCTGCTTGGGAGGCTGAGGTGGGGGGATCACTTGAGCCTGGGTGGTCCAGGCTGCACTCCACTCTTGTCTCGGTAACAGACTCTGTCTCTAAAAAAGAAAGAAAGCAGCACTTTCAGCAGGCCCATTCATGCACACCGGAGTGTGAATAGGGCCCTGGGATGAGGGTAACACAGTGGGGTTCATTCACCAAAGTGAAATGCAATTTGGCTTTTAGGGGTCCACCCATAAGATACTCCATGAAGCCACCCGAACAAGCAGCTCCTTTTATTCATTTATATATTTATTTATTTATTATTTATTGAGATGGAGTTTTGCTCTGTCACCCAGGCTGGAGTGCAGTGTTGCAGTCTCAGCTCACTGCAACCTCTGCCTACCAGGTTTAAGCAATTTTCCCTGCCTCAGCCTCCCAAGTAGCTGGGATTACAGGCACCCGCCACCACACCCGGCTAATTTCTATAGTTTTTAGTAGAGACAAGGTTTCGCCATGTTGGCCAGGCTGGTCTTGAACTCCTGACCTCAGGTGATCTGCCCGCCTCTGCCTCCCAAAGTGCTGGGATTACAGGTGTGAGCCACCACACCCGGCCAGCTCCTTTATTTATTTATTTATTTATTTATTTATTTATGAGACAGTCTCGCTGTCACCCAGGCTGGGGTGCAGTGGAGCGATCTCACCTCACTGCAACCTCCCGCTCCTGGGTTCAAGCAATTCTCCTGCCTCAGCCTCTCGAAGTAGCTGGGATTACAGGCACCCGCCACCATGCCTGGCTAATTTTTGTATTTTTAGCACAGATGGGGTTTCACCACGTTGGCCAGACTGGTCTTGAACTCCTGACCTGGAATGATCCACCCACCTCAGCCTCCTAAAGTGTTGTGATTACAGGCGCGAGGCACTGCGCCCGGCCCAGCAGCTCCTTTGTAACAGCAGGGGATAAGAAACATCCCAAACCCTGTCAGGAAAAGATGAGTTCTATGTGTGTCACCCTCCAGGCACACACCCGAGGACACCTTCAAAACAAGTCAGCTCTATTTGAAAGGAAAGGAGCCATCCACGTGAAAACTCCAGTGAAGAGAGTGAGGTGCCAGGTGGTGTGTACCATACACCGACATTTGGGTTAAAAAAGTAAATACATGGAGTTGTGTGTATGTGCCTAAAGTAGCTTTGCACACACCTAATTGGTGATGAGGTTTGTCTCCAGCCAGGGAAGCAGGTGGCCTGGGGGTC